CCCCAAAACCCCAAAACCCCAAAACCCCATAAAGCAAAATTCAAAAAATAAAATGAAATTACGATAATAATATTATTTAATATAAATATTGAATTATAATATAAAATGTACTACTAACCTACTCCTATTAATTGGCAAAATTATCACTTCCTCATTATGAGTTCTCCCGACAATGACTCCATGAAAAAGTGCATTAAGGTATGTGAATGGATTTGAAATTCTCTCTGTCACATTAACCTTTCGAGTTTAGGATTTAAAAACCCACAAGGTTAAATTATTGGTGAGAACTTGTGAAAAAACATATGATGAATAGCCCATAAAAGATGCAGGCATAGAAATACATGTAAGAAATAACTTGCCTTCATATTAACAATCACAATAGGAGAATTAATTCCCAGATGGGTAGCTTCCTTCTAAAGATACTATAAAAAAATGGCTGGCTACAGTTGATGAATTTTTTACTGATGAAAATAATGGATAATCTCCAACAGCTAATGCAACTGATAAGGGTATAAATTCACATTAATTATATAATAATATAGAGAAACAAACTAACAAGCCTAAGAAATCTGGGGATGAACTAAGAATCGGGGTGCATTGCGTTGCAGGATTAGGAAGAGCTCCATTTTTCGTTGCAATAGCTTTAGTCAATAATGGCTGTACTCCATCAAATGCTATCGAACTGATAAGAAAAAATAGACCAGGTGCACTAAATCTTACCCAGGCAAACTACATTTTAGAATTCAAAGGAATGTCAAAGAAGAATAAGAACAAAGGGAAGGCAAACAGTAGCTGCAAGTGCATTATATTTTGAGGAGCCGACTTAGAATAATAAATCTTTTACTAACTTAACTATATAGTATTATCATGTCACCTTGACTCTGAAATATATTGCAAACATACTAACAATTATTTAAATTAATTTTAATGTAGAATTTAAACACATTAGCTCTTTTTAAAATCCTTTGCCATATTACTAATTTGAGAACTGGGGTTTTGGGGTTTTGGGGTTTTGGGG